TTAACCTCTTAAAAGAGGCATACTTTCCAATTATACTAAATGAAAATGATAGTAACCTAAAGAATTCTTACAGGAAATGACCGAGGATGAGATGTCAAGTGATCTATTGATTCTTCATCTTATTTCCTTTGGTCAGCCGGGGCTCACATGCTTAAGATTATGCAAACCAGACTGACAATTCCATGTCTGAAATGGAATATGCACTTTCTCCCCAGAGGGATACACTCTGCTTACCAAAGTCCCGAGATTATTAGGTGCAGATTGGCAAGAGCCAAGGCTTAAAACTCTCCTAATATTCTCTGGATGTAGGAGGTCGGAGAGCGTATTCACATTGAGCAGGGCTTCAGTATAACCCAAGAAACTAAGAGAATGCATGTTGAATAAAAGCTAGATATCTTCTTAATCACAATGCTCTCAAACATCCCTTAGCGCCCGGCTTCTACTCAGCAATAGCAGAGTTTCCTAACTGCTCATTCTACCCTTCTCAGTGAAAGGACTGGGTATAAATTGGGAGAAATAAGGAAGAGATTAAAAAAACAGTGCAGCCAATACTTTCACCCTCAATATAACTTGCGGTATGAAACACTATATGGCTTGGTCCCAGTGCTGCAACAGCCTTGATATTTATTGATTGAATTAATTCTGTTCTTCAGACATTTGAATTGCAACTGAGCAGTTACAAAAAATCGAAGCCTCCCTCCATGACGCACTGCGGTATACCCGGCCTTTTGGAACTTGCACCTATGTACCGGCTAACACCGTCCTCTTCATGTGCAACAGTCCACTGAACACACTGTCTCAACCTTGCAGATTATTTTGCACAATTTTAAGATAGTATCTGTCTGCCTCAGCAGTTTCGATTCACTGTTCACACGGCTGGGAATAAAGCCCCGATCCTGGTTTGCAGAAAAAAGCACAACGCCAATCTGGAACCTGCAGAACCACTGGACAAATCACCCCAAAGTCAGAAGGAGAAAGAGATTAATGTTTAGTCACACCTGTTAAGAGCAAGTATTGGCCACATTTTCTGTTCAGTCGATAAATTAAGGAGCTGCAATAAATAAGGAACAAAATGCGTTAAGGAATACCATATCCCCTCTCCAAGTTTCTGTACAATTAAATCTTCTTGCTTGAGACTGTTGTAAGCATAAAAGGACATTTCTGAAATGGTTATTATTGATTCCTTTAAAACAGCTTCAAAACAAATGCATTTTATATTTATTAAGTTTTTGTTATGTTTGACAACTACAGTATTTACACACAATATAGTGAGATTTACATTAAATATTTGTGTTGATTTTCATCTGATTAGACACTTTATTTTATAAAGTCTCTCTGGTACAATGTGTTTTTTGTACACATTTTGCAGAACAAAGCCACTAATTTTTTTCCTTCTGCAATATGTTTCCTTTTTCTACTGCATTCTTCTGTATTCAACAAGATGTCTATAGGAAGCTATTGACGGATCATAATTGCTAAGGGAGTAGTCTAGATACAGAAGTGTTTTAACTTTCAATTACAGGAAAATTCAGCCTCCAAAAATAACTCTGTGGTTGACATTATGTCTCAAAACTTCACTGTACTTAATTGATTTTGTATACACTGTTGCACACTAACTTTTTGCAATACGAAACACACCATTAGAACATAATATCTATGACACAGATACCTTAAATTAATTCTTTGTATCCATGCTCACACAGAAAAACAAAGCGCTTTCCCAAGACAGAAGTGGAACTTCCAAGACATGACGGGAAGATTCGAAGAACCGATAGATATTTTAAATAAAGAGGCAACTGACAATGCTAAAGACATTAAAGGACAATAGGGCCCACAACAACTGCACACAAAGGTACCCAAGGAAATGGTCAGTTAAATTGATGTTTTTCCCAGCATATTAGGAATTTATCAAAAATGAAAGTGAGGCCTGTACATGGGAAAACATGGAACTTAACTCCAATTTAGGAGGTAACTACTACATATGAATGGCCTTTAAAAACCTTTCTTTTAGTGGCTGTGCTTTTTTTTCCGTGAATATATAAAACTACTAGACTATACTAGAGCTGACCTGGAATAATTCTTTTGAAGTAATAATGAACACTGCATTTACCATACAATGGTCTGTATCTATTTACACGAGTAGCAATGACTCACATGACCCCTTCAAAAGATACGTGTATTATGTGTGGCATTGCTGATAATGCTGAAATCTCACAATTACTAACTTCTAATGCAATTGTTATTTGGCAACTCAACCTTTGCCCTCCTCCTCCATACTCTCACTGAGGCCTACTTCACAACAGTACTGCCTGGATTTTAAACCCAGCAAGTCATTTACTTATGTGTTGGGTTCCTTTCATTTGCTTTGCTTTCGCATCAACAGCCTGGTGGCAAAAACATACAGTATGTGTACACCAGCTTCTTAACGGGTTGCACAGATTATCCAAATTAATAAATACATATCACAGCTATTAAAATTTCTCTGAAGATAGATTACTGATATGGAAGGAGACTTTGTACAGTTCATCTGAATTGACCTAAGTGCTACCAAAGTGAGTAATAACCACTATAATATTTCCAATCCTGTGAATCCTGTCTTTTAATGTTAATTTATTTTGCATTTCACAGTGTTTGGGGAATATGCTACACAGACTGTCGAACGGTTAGCATACTGTCAGGAGATGTGTCAGCTGATACTGGTGTCAGATGCTAACATTTCAAGTCCAGAGGGAAGCAACAAAGGGAAAGAAATAAAAACCAGAAATAAATCAATTTCACAAGTGGTGTTGAGAATAAGGATCACAAAACCAAAGCACTGCAGCAGAGAGTACTGAAAGGAAACGTTAATAACGAAAATTGAGGCCATGGGAAGAATTAGATTGCGCTGTAGTTTAAAGTTGGTGAAGAGTTATAATGCCATGTATCGTCAGCTGGATTCTCTATCGACCAGGATATCTTATAGTTAATTAAATTTTCTCATCACCAGTTGCAAAAAATTCCATGTCTAAGTCGACTTTAAAGGACATGCTGCGAATGCGAACCTTCAGAAACAGAACCCATGCAACATTTCCTTTTACAGCCTTTCAACGTTGCTCATATAAATCTACGTGAAGAAGATGACAGCTAAATTACAGCTACCCAATAAGAGCTTACCAGCAACCTAAGCAATTTGAAAATAAATAAGAGCATTCAATCTAATGCCATTTTGCCTATGTTCTGCCAATTTCTTTGAAAATCATACACATGGTAGAATTGTGCCCATCACACCCAATAAGCTACTGCTGTTTGGGGAAGGATATTTTCACTGACAACCATAGCAACTATACATGAAATTTCACAGAAATGAATGCCCCTAAGAAGAGAGTCAAGTTGATCACAGGAATTTTGCCCTTCCTCCTCCAAGTAAATCTCCTCCTGCTTTCCAACTCACGAAAGAGTTTGTAATCCCCCCTCCCATTTGCTGCTGTGCCTCCAGTGCAGCAGAGGTCAACATTCCTCAGTAACATTACACCATAATTCGGCATCAGACTCAGTATGAAATGTATTAATAATTATTATTGCAGACTAATTATTATTACAAAAAAATCACTCAAATGAAGTGAGTAAAACATACAGATGTAAATATATTTATATATATATATATATATATTTCCCCAGAGGGAAACGTTTTAATTTGAGTTACTCTTTAACAGAAACAGGAGGAACTTTCTAATCTAAATAATTCTGGACAAAAAATGAACTCGTCGTTAAGGTTTGCTGCAAGTGTGTCTATGGCAGTGACTAATGCAATGCAATACGACGATGGAATCATTGGCAATGAATTGCATCCCGAACCATTGAAGTTTTGGGCCAATTTCCTCGCTTTCACAGCATTATTGCATCCTGTTATTCGGCTTATGGTACAGCAAACGTTCCAACTCAAGTCCTGCAATAGATGTGGGTCACAGGAAAAACAAGAGCTGACACAGGGCTGAACTGGGGTCTCCGACGGCTGTTGGGGGCGTATTAATAAATACATTTCGAAATTGACGTGTGTAAAAAAAACACACACACACACAGTGACCATTGCAATGCGTCGGTCACCCACATTGGGAGAAGGCATCAAACCGACGAGTGTCGTTCAAAAATCACGCTGTCAAACGTTAAACTGCTAACGTGCTCTTTTTTTTCAGCCCAAAACATCTCATTACGTTCTCAGGTTCAACCCTTCAGCATTGTTTCAGGAGAGTGGAGACAGAATCCACCGAATAAAAACAGGTTCCCTGGAATGAAGAGGAGGAACACAATTCTGGGCTCTCTCTCTCTCTCTCTATATATATATATATATATAATATATATATCTCTCTCTCTCTCACACACACACACACACACATTGTTTTTGGTTGTGTTGTCTCAGATGCAATCTGCATTCAGCCAAACCCAGTTACACCAAAGATATCTTGGAAGCTTTGATGAGCTACTGCAGCCCAACCAAGTAACTTAACACCCAGTCCAGAGAAGAAGAAGAAGAAGAAGAAGAAGAGGAGGAGGAGGGGTGGGATACAAAAAGTTCAAGCAAAGTTGCATAACCTGAGAACTCAACAATTTATTTGAAAACAAAGATTTTTTGGTGGGGGGGAGTTAAAAAAAATTGTTATCGAGGTTGAAATACATTGGGATTAACCATTATTATTATTATATTATAACCAGAGAGAGAAAGAGAGAGAGAAAAACAACTGCAAAGAAAGGTCTCATATGCGTGTAAAAAAAATACACCAGGAACAAAGGAAAATTGCCAATTTACTCGATTCCGGAATTTATGCATATATATATATATATACATATATATAAGAAACACCCATTTTTTTTCTTGCATTTAGTAAAAATCGTGCAGACAATCAGATAAACAACGGTTCCAGAGAACAGAGGGAAAGAAAAGGGAGGGATGGAGGGAGGGAGAGAGGGATAAAAGAAAGAGAGAGGAGGGGAGAGGAGAGGAGAGAAGAGAAACATTTTCTTACCCCTAAGAAACCAGAAGAGGATGCGATGAAAACTTTAATCACCATCGTTTTACCCCCACACAAGAAAAAAAGAGCTGAGAGTGTGTGTGTGTGTTGCAGGTTGTGGAGTGTGTGAGTGTTTGTGTGTTGTGGAGTGTGTGAGTGTTTGTGTGTTGTGGAGTGTGTGAGTGTTTGTGTGTTGTGGAGTGTGTGAGTGTTTGTGTGTTGTGGAGTGTGTGAGTGTTTACTGGCGACAGAGGCTTTGAGGAGCGAAACGAAAACTACTCCACCAAAGAGAGAGAGAGAGAGAGAGAGCAAAGCTGCTCAGTCCCGGAAGCAGCAAAAAAACTAAAAGAGCATTTCTCACTCTCTCTCTCTCTCAAACACACACAGAAAATGTCAGATCCCGAACAGCAACAGCGCCGCGAGATCTGCTGTGTTCTGCCTCCTCCACTGTACAGCAAATCACACCAATACATGGTGCCAGGCAAGACCCCCCCCCACACCACCCACCAATAACAGCAACACCTCCTGCCCAGGCAAGACCCCCCCCCACACCACCCACCAATAACAGCAACACCTCCTGCCCAGGCAAGACCCCCCCCCCCACACCACACCACCCACCAATAACAGCAACACCTCCTGCCCAGGCAAGACCCCCCCCCACACCACCCACCAATAACAGTAACACCTCCTGCCCAGGCAAGACCCCCCCCCACACCACCCACCAATAACAGTAACACCTCCTGCCCAGGCAAGACCCCCCCCCCCCGCACACCACCCACCAATAACAGTAACACCTCCTGCCCAGGCAAGACCCCCCCCCCGCACACCACCCACCAATAACAGTAACACCTCCTGCCCAGGCAAGACCCCCCCCCACACCACCCACCAATAACAGTAACACCTCCTGCCCAGGCAAGACCCCCCCCCACACACCCACCAATAACAGTAACACCTCCTGCCCAGGCAAGACCCCCCCACACCACCCACCAATAACAGTAACACCTCCTGCCCAGGCAAGACCCCCCCCCCACACCACCCACCAATAACAGTGACACCTCCTGCCCAGGCAAGACCCCCCCCCACACCACCCACCAATAACAGTGACACCTCCTGCCCAGGCAAGACCCCCCCCACACCACCCACCAATAACAGTGACACCTCCTGCCCAGGCAAGACCCCCCCCCCCCCACACCACCCACCAATAACAGTGACACCTCCTGCCCAGGCAAGACCCCCCCCCCCCCCCCCCCGCACACCACCCACCAATAACAGTAACACCTCCTGCCCAGGCAAGACCCCCCCCCACACCACCCACCAATAACAGTAACACCTCCTGCCCAGGCAAGACCCCCCCCCCCCCCCCGCACACCACCCACCAATAACAGTAACACCTCCTGCCCAGGCAAGACCCCCCCCCCCACACACACACACACACCACCCACCAATAACAGTAACACCTCCTGCCCAGGCAAGACACCCCCCACACACCACCCACCAATAACAGTAACACCTCCTGCCCAGGCAAGACCCCCCACCCCTACACACCACCCACCAATAACAGTAACACCTCCTGCCCAGGCAAGACCCCCCCCCACACACCACCCACCAATAACAGCAACACCTCCTGCCCAGGCAAGACCCCCCCCCCACACCACCCACCAATAACAGTAACATCTCCTGCCCAGGCAAGACCCCCCCCACACCACCCACCAATAACAGTAACACCTCCTGCCCAGGCAAGACCCCCCCCCACACCACCCACCAATAACAGTAACACCTCCTGCCCAGGCAAGACCCCCCCCACACCACCCACCAATAACAGTAACACCTCCTGCCCAGGCAAGACCCCCCCCCCCCCCCGCACACCACCCGCCAATAACAGTAACACCTCCTGCCCAGGCAAGACCCCCCCCCCCTACACACCACCCACCAATAACAGTAATACCTCCTGCCCAGGCAAGACCCCCCCCACACCACCCACCAATAACAGTAACACCTCCTGCCCAGGCAAGACCCCCCACCCCACACACACACACCACCCACCAATAACAGTAACACCTCCTGCCCAGGCAAGACCCCCCCCACACCACCCACCAATAACAGTAACACCTCCTGCCCAGGCAAGACCCCCCCCCCACACACCACCCACCAATAACAGTAACACCTCCTGCCCAGGCAAGACCCCCCCCCACACACCACCCACCAATAACAGTAACACCTCCTGCCCAGGCAAGACCCCCCCCCACACACACCACACACCAATAACAGTAACACCTCCTGCCCAGGCAAGACCCCCCCCCACACCACCCACCAATAACAGTAACACCTCCTGCCCAGGCAAGACCCCCCCCCCCCCACACCACCCACCAATAACAGTAACACCTCCTGCCCAGGCAAGACCCCCCACACACACCACCCACCAATAACAGTAACACCTCCTGCCCAGGCAAGACCCCCCCACCCCACACCACCCACCAATAACAGTAATACCTCCTGCCCAGGCAAGACCCCCCCCCACACCACCCACCAATAACAGTAACACCTCCTACCCGGGCAAGACCCCCACACCACCCACCAATAACAGTAATACCTCCTGCCCAGGCAAGACCCCCCCACCCACACCACCCACCAATAACAGTAACACCTCCTGCCAGGCAAGACCCCCACACCACCCACCAATAACAGTAACACCTCCTGCCTAATGCAAAACACCAAAACACTGCAGATGCTGGAAATCTGAAACACCAAAACAACAGCCGGAGCGCTGGGAACGCTCAGCGGGTCCCGGCAGCGTCCGGGGGGGGGGGGGGAAGAAAAGGAAAGTTGAGTCGATATTTCGGGGTCCACCGAAGGGCCGTGGACCCCGAAACGTCGACTCACTCTTCTTTCTCCCTCGATGCCGCCCGACCGGCTGAGTTTTCCCCGGCTCTCGCTGTTTATGTTTCTGCCTAAATGCAAGACTGCTACCATAAGCCTGAGCCCCTTCACCCCCAACCAACTCAGGCAGCAGCTAGTAATTGTTTCAAGAAGAATGACTGATGAGTTAGTTGCCTATTGTTCCACAGTAACCAGCCGGGTGGGGGGTTGGGGGAATGACTCTGAGAATCCAATGCTTGATCCGATCCATTCTTAATATCTAAACCTGGCTGGGGGTGAAGTCTTGCTTTTAGAAGACAAGCCATTCTATTCTGCTCCTTCTACTTCTGTAGCGCTCCAATGGCTTTGGTTTGGATCTGTTTTGTCTTGACTTTATTGTACACTAAAGCCATGTTGATGGTGAGGCTCTTGCCATCATCCTCCTGAAACTACATCCTCTTAACATGCTAAGGCAGTTTGGCCTGTGATTGGCTCTCACAGGTTTGAAATTTGGATTTTTTTGCCACATGGGAAATGAAGTTGGCCATGAGACACATTGCAGCCAAGGAATCTGTCAAAGTGCCTGTCTTGGCAAGAGGTGAAGGCCCTACATTATGATAAGGACGCTTACATTTTGGACAGAACCTTTCGCATTAGGGAGTCGGCCAAAGCGCTTCACGGGATACATTATGAAGTGCAGTGACTGTGTTTTCTCACAAATACATCCCAAAGGATTAACAGAGATTGGATGCACTAATTCCCCAATGGTCAGTTAAAATCTTAAACAACATAGCTAACTATACGCTTGTTTGACACACACCAGACAGTTGCTATCTTATGGATATATGCACACAAAAGGGGAAATCTACAGTATATGAAATGATAGTTATAGACATATAGTTAAGGAAAGATATTTTAGAATTTTGTACATCTGCATTACTACGTTCAAAGAGACACACACCCCAAGCTTGTAGTAATATCATCCAACCTGTCTAGACTAGGACACTTCTCATTCATTTAACAATTTTTCTTTAAGAATTTTAGCTATGTCATGTGAATACAAACTACTTTTAAAAACATCTCAGGTAAATTCAAACATTAAAATACTGTCAAGCTTAAAATACAAGTTAAGTATCAAGAATATTTTCCCAGTGGTTCAATAAATAAACAAGGTATTTATTCACTGACAGGCAAGAGGATTTTTTAAAAATATGGATGATCAGAATAATGGTAAGGATAAAACACACAGCATCTACGATAAAACATACGACATCTGCCAAGCTAATTACTATATGTCACATAATATGGTTTGTTCTGTAGAATATCTAATTAATTGGAAGTGATAATGTGGAAAGAACTCTGTTGTTTTGGCACCTATTTGGCATTTAAAATTCTTAATTTCAAATCAAGTGCACAAGCACCCTCTGCTGGATGGATTTGGAGGTAAATTGAATGAAAAGCCTGGGAAGGGAAAGCCAGACCAGTCACAAGTCATGAAGACCTTGCTCCTTTAGTTTTATTGATTTTAATGCTATGACATTAAAATGCAAGTTAAATATGGCTGATGTAATATGAACAACCATCATTTTGGTCTCATGGGCACCTTTCCATTTTTGATAAGAGTTTGAATAAATGAAAGCCTTTACAGACATAGATGCTATGAGTGGCATAACTGTATCAACCATCATATTATTGTCCTCCTCCACGTATGGATGAAGCACCAATAATATACCCCATTCACAAAATCAAATGCAAGTGTGGTTCGGGTATGTATTTTGTGAAAACAAATTATTTCACCTGCTGTACCAGCTAAGTTGAGAAAGGCTTCAAGATGTCTTTGTGGTACTTGATACTAGTTCATCGGGCACAAGATCACAAAGTGGAATGACAAGGAATCACTTAGAAAATCACTTCCAGGTTTTAACCAGCCTATCAGCATCATGCCTCTTGTGAAAGTGAGTCACTTTCAGTGAAGAAGAATATCAGAGGACAAGTGAATCTAGGCTGCTTTCATACTCCATCCAGTGGCCACTTAGAGAATAGTATTGGGAAAGGTATTGGTAGATTCTGAGGGAGGGCAATAATAAATAATGGCAACTATGCAATACTAATATTCACATTACTTGTCTAGCTAGGACTCCCCTTGAGGAAACGTCCTAGTCTAATCCTTGAAAGGTCACCAGATCTTTAACCCAGACCTAGGTCTAAAATACGGTGCTCAAACGATAATATCCACAATATCATAAGTGAGAAATATAATTCAAGAAACACAGTTTCTGTAAAGTTCCCCCTCTATGATTATACCACAAAGCTCATAACATAAAAGGTATACCAAAAAGGTTATTCAATATAATGTATTTTGTAAAAAAAAGATTGCACAGACTGATTTCTGACCTGCTTCTGTAAACTAAGCCACTGTGATTTATTATCTGAAGTATTTATTTTATATCATTTATATATAGACCTACGTGAGGAGAGGAGAGGAAATAATACCA